TAAAAGAAAACGGAGGAATGGACGGATGCCAGGCGAAGACGTCGTTTTAACCCTTCTCCCGTCGGAGTTACACGAACTTCATTTGCGAGGCGAAAAATCAGGAAGAAAAGGATAATCAAGTTGGGTTTGCTTTCCCCTGCTACCAATGTAGCATTTATAAATTTATTTATTAAGGTAATGGAAGGCATAACACTTGATGGAACACTTATGTTAAGACGAGGACTATCCCAACTACAAAAAGCAAGATATTCACTAAGAGGACTCCCACATTTACAGTAAGTTGGTTAATCAAAGTGTTGCAAGACTGTGCAAATGCAAAGCTATTAGTTTCGGCTGACTTCATCGGCTGGGTCCACTTGTGTTGTTGCATTGCAACATTCAGACACTTTTGATGCATATTAGGAAGAAGGGAAGAGGTGCTTTGAGCAATCGGCATATCTCAATACTCAGCTCACTCTCCTCTGACCACATTGACGACTGCAGCCCAAACCGTCAGTCAAACAAACAAAGGATTGCTTGCTCCCTTCCTCTTCGTTTTGAGCAACTTTCCCTTCATGATGCACCTCCCACATCACCCATCACAACACAGTCCATGCAGCAAGAATGCACCCACGCCTACGGGATTGTGGAGGCATGCACTTGGCCTCAGCCTTTACTGGTCTCCTCAACAGCTTCAACGAGACCTACAGTTTCTTCTGACCTGTGAAGTGGACCCAGACACTGACCGTTCTGTTGGCCCTCGTGTGTCCATGACTAGACGTTGCAACACTGATGGAATATCAACTCACTACCAGGCAGCACAGGGATTAACCCAGTTCCTGTCACATTGCCGACATCTGTAGTCAGGCGCGGTAAGGGAAATGCTGATGAGTTCACCAAAATAGGCGTCTGTGGACTAGAGGAATGGAGTGAGTGTCAGCGTCATTCTCATTTCTCGTCATGTAGAGAAATTGGAGCCCGTCTCACCAGCGAATGTGCATTTCACTCGCACCACCAATTTGACACAAATGTTGGTAAGTAGGATGGAGGCAATAACGAAATCGGATTTGCTTTCCACTGCCTTCAATGAAGTGTTTGGAAGGAGATAGGCGTTTTTCAATGCCTTAATGGCTAGCCATTAAGACGGAGACCATGTGGCCATCAAATTCATCGTTAGTAGTCCAACGTAACAATGCGTTACAACTTTAAATCCAGGACTTCGCACGTTGTTCCAGGAGGCAGACTTTAAAATTTGCTACCTGATTTTCATTGACATCTAAAAATACATGATAATGAAAACCAGTCAAAATGTTTGCCCTTAAAATGCAACGACTTGCATTTTGTACGGTTTAATGCGAAATTTAACGCTGCGTGGACCAAACATCACCCGCAGTTTAATGTTGCAGGTATGACTTTAAGAGAGAGTAAATGTCCTTCACCCTTGGACAAGCATTCTCTTCCCCCTTTTTTCTTGAAGGTCGTTAACAAGGGGAGTATGTACGTACTCATGTAATGCTTTGTTTAGGTGATCACCTGATGTCTGGCGGTTACTCCTAGGTTCCTCTGGTCCTTGTATGCGTGGGCCCACCTCAGGCCTACTCCACCTTCTCCCCCTAGAATACATGCATCCAGCCGCACATTTTGTCCTATCAGGTGGGAAGTCTCGAGACGCTACGACTCTAACCGCCAAATGCCTTCCAATACTCTGTCGATGGTGCTTGAATGCCGGCATTCCTCAATGGCAAAAATGCCACTGTGGAGTCCCAAGACTTTCAACCTGGCAGGAGAAGGCATTAAGTGGGACTAAGACGTGGATTCTACAAGGAGGGCAAGAGACTGAGCTTTGGCTTGGCCCGAAAGCCAACCCACACAGGTGATCTCACAAGCAAAGTATCACAGAAACTTAGGCAAAAGTAAATGAGAAGCATTTAACTGATCAAGAGGACTAGATGAAAATTTTTTTTGCATAAAAAATCACCTCTTATATTTTGAGTCAGAGTAACGTGCTCCTGGTCAGCCCTTCTTGATTAGCAATTAACATACCAAATGTCTTAACCGAAAGGCATTCCATGATCTTGAGCGAATCGAGGTTAAACCAAAAGGGAAGTTTGGGCACGCAAAACGAGTGGTCGATGCATGGAAGGAAAGAAGCGGAATCGCAGTGCTACGGAATGGCTTTTAAACCGCTACACATTTTGTGATGGCAAGTAAAGACAAATGAACAAGAGAGGTAATAGGGAAGACACTTGAGGCACTGCTGAAGTCTGAAGGTGATTTGCCAGTTGATTAGGCTAGCTTATCTACAGCAGATATTCACTCCTGTTTATCCATTTTTTTGCCTCTTAAGTAAAGCTTAAAATATAACTGAATTTTCGCCATTGACTGAGCCTCTTCCAGGCTCACACACATTGTGAATAGTAAGACGGGAGTATGAGGAATTGCGGCCTAGAGTGGGACTCGAGGAGCCTCGCGATCCTCCAGAAGTACGTCTTTAGATTTTATATCCTGTTAGTAATCTGCAAGGTACGTTTGAACAACAAGTTCACATGTATCACACAGTGTGCCTTTTCGTTCGGGCACCGTGCTCGGTGCTACTCTTAAAGGGTTTAGTCTAGTGGACTCTTTCTCAGCCCATGCATTGACTATGTCTTCGCAGCCCAATGGAGGTGTGCCTTACCTTGTTCTGATGTGCCGCTAATGTCTGACTAAAGATCCCCCATTGCAGATAAAGTGTTTCGCAGATGGCGGTCTTGATAAAGCGATGAGAGACCTTGCTCCAGGGATGGTAGAATTTCCAATGAGTTTACAGTGGGAAAATCGGTCTATGCAAATACACTGAATCCCTTCACTGATGATGTTGGTGCGCCCATATCTGTGGTGGAACGCCTTCTACCGAGTTTGTGCTGTCTGCAGCTGTTTTCGAGTTGTATAAAACACGAAGGACGTATGGAGGAGAGCGTCCTAAGTGCGCCTTTGTTAAAGGCTGTCAAGAATTGCATAAATCCGTTCCTCTTCCTCATCACCCAAACAGTGTCCTTATGTTTTGTACCTTTTGCAAACTTCAAAGGCTTTGCAAAGGTCTGTGCAAAGACAGCTTTCAACATTAGACTCTTAACTGCACGCCGCGTCGAGAGATCCACCGGATGAAGTACGTTGATATAAATGTCGCAGCAAACTACACCCTCAGAGATTAATGAAGTGGTCAACCATCACTAAAATGTATTGATTCTATTGTTCGGTTTCTGGAAGTGGACCGATGGTTACATGCCTATCCTATCTCATCTGGGATCCCTGTAAGCGAAGACTAAAGGGTGCGATTTTAGAGCACGTCCGACAATAATCTGAGACATCTGAAATAACCAAGGGCCACCAAATATCTTACCAACCCAACCTCAACCGTTTCTATTCGCCGAGATGTCCATCCGCTCGTGTAGTTCCAGTAGAACCGTTTGTGTTAGCGATTCTGGGGCTGCAATGCTTTGTTTATGTGACCGCATAACGTTTGGTGCTCACTTTATGATTTGTCTTGCCCTTGCACTCGTGGGGAGCCTTCGGGTTTGCTCAGACAAATTTGCTCTGTTTTCCTCGGAATACATGTTTCCAGCTTCACTTATTGCTTTCTTCCACCCTATGGGAATCTCGGGACGCTAAACTAGTGGCAGCGGAAAGCAAACACGTCTTTTTTATCGACTTCTATCACAGCACATACCGTTCGGTGCATGTACCTACGGTGCGAAAATGCGCATTTACCTCGGTGGTGGGAGAACCTCTGATTCATTCACGATAATAAGGTTGAGACTGACGTCTACATTTGGTTTCGCCTTATTCCCGTGTTCCACAGACAAGCTAGCAACAACTGGAAAAGTTTCATGTCGGAGTTTCAATACAAAATTCGTGTTTAGGTGTCGGAAATGACACCATGGTACTCCTTACATACGGAACAGCAGCTCATCCTGTTTTCTCTGTAACATATATATATATTAGACCAGAAATCCACCTTCTAGTCCTAGAAGCAGTTGATGGTCAACAGGTGTATGAGGTCCCGAATCTGATTGTCAGACCGAACATAACTCCAGATGCAGGTGAAGCTGTTGATGAGATCAGGTACGATTCCTCAGTGTCATGTTCTCTGTCGACTGACGCGGTTGGCTCGTGGGTGTTTTCATGTAGTACCGAATCTATTGTGATGGCTGGGGCTCACAAGAAGAGAGGGGCAGTGTAATATTTTGTTTATGTGACCACATGACGTTTGAAGGTCACTTTAGTGTGTCTGACCCTTGTACATGTGGGCTGGCCTTCTGGCAATTCCCAGGACCATTTGCCCTGTCGTCTTCGGAATACATGCATCCAACCTCAATTGCTACCTTCTTCCACCCTATGAGAAATTTTGGAACGCTACATGGACTACGAATCAACTGCAACTCGATAAATGCACTGTATTTCATACGAGTTTTTGAGGAATATCATGCAATTATACCGTATTTGTTTATTCGTCTGGCTTTCCGAGCTTGTCTTCTCTTTTCGGACTTAGCTAGGGCTTTTTGAAGCTCCTTGCAAAAAAAACAGTGTCAAGATCGGAGCACTATGAATTTCATTAGTGATGTGCCGCAAGTACGTCTAACAGTGACGTATCTGCTGTGGTGGCCATCACCATGACCAGTTTCAATTATCCCTACTGAGTAATTTTCCTCTCAGGTGAAGACAGTGCCAATTAAGAATTGCATGCGCTGTCTTGTTTTAAGCTCTTAACAAGGACTCTTGCGTTTTGGTGGTATTAATAAGTCCACGATGTTTTAAGGTAGGGTTTGTGACTGCATTGATTTGAACGATCCAGAGTATTGTCAATTGCGTATTGTCATACGAAAGCAAAACCAAGTTCAGCACTTTGCCTTTGCCAGCAATTTGAGTAGAAATTTAGAAAACTAAATTATAACTGACCTTATCAGGACTTTAAATTACCTGTCTGCCTTGTTGGAGTGAGGGGTTCTTAAAACGATACTTTGCATCTCATTTTTCTACGGATGTCGCTGAACGATACTGATGTTCAGAAGCAGGTGATTAGGGCTTTGAAATTTTTTACGACAAGGAATTGTATGCACGTGCTGGTCGTTTGCTTATTTCCACTTTCAATTGGTAGAACTCACCCGTCTTGTTATCCTTTTCCCATGTTTATTATCATTATTACAACTGTTGGTTTGTATTTCATTTAAATTGTCGAGTTGTGTTTGCTAGGAACTTATGAGAATTGTGGTTCGTTGGTGCATTTTGCTTTGCCACTATGTACCATGTTTCATTTAAGTGTGGATGTACTTATTATGCATGACTTACGTGAATTCCGGATTTGTACCTTTAGATCCAACGGTTAGTTGCTTTTATTGACCAAGAGGCGAATGCCAAAGTGGAGGAGATTGATGCTAAAGCGGAGGAGGAGTTTCAAATCGAGAAGTCTCGCTTAGTACAAAACCAGCGTCTTAAAATCATGGAATTTTACACAAAGAAGGAAAATCAACTTGAATTAGCTAAGAAAATGTGATTGTCTTGGTTATGAACGGTTTTCTGGTTATAATTATTTAGTCTAATCCGCCGTTTCTATGTTTAGTCAGGACTCCAACTTAATGCACCAAGCTCGCCTCAAAGTTCTTCACAATCGGGAGCGGTTCATCGAAGAACTTATTCAAGAGGCACGGAAACGTCTCTATGCAATAACGAAGGATACTGATAAATACAGGGTTACTTTGGGTGGACTTATTACTCAGGTTAGCTTCGATGCTTTGAAAACTCTCGAGGTTTTGTGTACACTTTCCTGTTCGTTGCGATATTCTCCACTTGTAATTGCAGCGTCTATTTCGACAACCATACCGTTATCCTGTGACAGATTCCTATGCTGAGTGTTGTGATAATTTGCCCTGCTCTGCTTCTTTATGACCCATTTAATTGGTCTTTGAAAACAGTTAACAAGGTCGCATACAATATTTGCATGCTTGCTTGAATATTTAAGGGTCTTCTCCAGCTTGTCGAACCAGAGGCAACGATCAAGTGCAGGGCTGAAGACTACGACCTTGTTAAGGTATGTTTCTGTAGAACTGTTTTTAGGAGAAATATAATTGGCTGTTTGAAATTACGTTAGTCTCTTTTTTAGTCCCTTGTACCGGCATCGGTTAAGGAGGTGAAGAGACAGGCTGGAATTGATTGCAACGTAACTGTTGACAGCACAAATTTTTTGCCACAAGACGGGTCAGAGATCTTGCCTTCATGTTTCTTGTGAAACCTACTTAAATTGGTTCAAATAGCACCCCGTTTTCGTTTTACAGTTGTGGTGGCATTGAGATCTATGTACGTCAGGGTCGCATCTGTGTGAACAACACCTTGGACGCGCGCCTAGACCAAGTGGCCGAGAAGATGATGCCGCAGATCCGTGAACAGCTGTTTGGCGTTAACAAGAACCGCAAATTCCATACCTAGAACCTCTCTTCTGCTCATGGTGGCATTTGCTTTCCCTTCCCAATAGCATAATAATACTGGTTATTTATTTTCTTGGAATTCGTGCATTGCTGTCGGTTTTGGATTCGCATCTCTTTCTTTCCTCTGTATTTGTACTTGCATTCCATCAATGTATTGCTCCTCCAGTACATCTACCTTAGTCGCTTCACTGTGAGGATGTTCGGACCGCCCCCACCGTCGTACTGTGCTTGGACAGATTCTCTGAAGTGTTTGGTTGCTCATTTAATACTGCTGTTCGTCGCCGACCTGATCAACGCAGTCTGAACTAGTCCGCATCCAAGCTGCTGAGAGCAGAAACTCCGCAGCAACCTCACATTATGATTGTGACAGATTTACAGTTGCAATCTAGCTCGGACGTCCTTCACACGAACTTCCCCTTGCTGTTCCACTCCAACTAGGTTAGCTATTACTAGTGTAAACAAAGTCCTGACACAAGCTAGAGAATCCAGTCCCGACGACTTACGATATACCGGGAACCTTATTATGGAAAAATTGTTTCAGCATTGTCAGCGTGAATTCCAGATCAAATCTCGGATTTCATGCACTCTATGTAAATCAGGCGAATTAAGTTACTACCATGAGACAGTAGTACTCGCTCATAATGTTCTACCACACCTTGTAATCGGCGATTTAGTTCGAGTTTGTTGACGATGCGACGCAAAACTGGTTCCGTGTAAATCTGCGGTCTAGTAAAGCTTGCTACACCTGAGCTTGCCAGGCCGTCGACATGTGTACTTCGCACTATACAGAGATTCTTGCCTCCAGTTTAATAGGGATAATCGTGGACCCACACTGGTAAAAATGCTTTATAAAAAAAAGGAGTTTATTATTAGCATTAACTTACTACCTTCCGCAAAGAATAACAGAGGTGGAAGGAGTGGTACGAGAGGAGAAAAATGTAAAGAGGAGTGGCTCAATTTAATGCTTTCCTCACTTCCTCCTCTGGCGGCGCTGACGCTTTGACCTCGAGAGCAGACCAGGAGCAGGCTTCGGCTTTGCGCATCACCACTTCCAACTTAGTAGCCATCAGGTTGAGTCGTGAGGTATCTGGGTCGATCAACTGTAAGGGACGACAACATTACATCAACCTCATTACCACGGCGACGGGGGAATTTGTTCACAAAATACATAAAATTTTGCAAGAGAATCAGTGGAGATGCGTTCATCGCTAGATGCGCACATCGAAGAAGTTCTGGTTCGTCGCTTTGCACATATAGAAAATAATTGAGACACGAAAAGAGTGCATGGTCAATCAATGGACGCTTGATTATGCACATAAAAAGCCTAGCAGTGCTAATTTTGCCCTAATAAATGGGTTGTTCTGATGAACTCCAGTTGACACCACAAAAAAGTTGTGGTTAACATTCCGAGGTATTTAGATGGCATTCGTGAGTCAATAATGATTCTTTGCACGAAATGATTTTCAGTGTTGTCTATTATCCAATTCATTGATATGAAGATGAGGCCAATAATAACGACAACAAATACCTGCAAATCAGTAAAGGTAAATACAAGCAATGCAAACTTTTCATGAAGTCAAATAGATTAGAATGGGTAGTGAGCTAAGAATAAGACAGCAAAAAAGTCCCACGCAGCATGATTGACAAGGTTGGCTGCAAACAACTTGGAATCATGCATTATTCCATCACGACAACCAAATCGAGGAAGTAAACCAGGGATGTGCCATCACTTACTCTAGAAGTAGAGCAACAGTTCAAAGCAAAATCAAGCCATCCTTACTAGAAACACTCAATGTTATTCCAGAAGGAATCGAGAACCAGAAACACAAAGACCTCATAGTCATAAATGACAAAGTGTTTCCCACTCGCTCACCCCAAAGAGATTGAATGATTTCTCAAAGTGAGACTTCCCACCGTCATAAAGGAAAGAGAGGGTGAGAAAGACACTGTTACACCGTACGTCGGCGGACTCCGGGAGCACATTTTTTGCATACACCGATAGGGTGACCGTATCAGGCATTTGGAACCAATCAAATCGGCACTGTGACGTCAGTGGAGTGATGAAAGTTCCATTTGTTATCGCTTCCTATTACAATAAAAGTCGAAGCATGAGCCGAAAAGCCACGAACTCCATAGAAGGGTCAATAGAGACATGCGCTATCACAATTCTTTCCAATATGAAAAACATTAAGTCAGGCTTGGATATAGTGATCGGAATGAAGGGCAGAATAACGTGCCTCTTTTGTCCACGCATGTCGACCGGCAGTACAACCTTCTTGAGCCAGGAATGTTTCGAAATCAGTCGTCTTTCTTTGACAGCAGCTCCAATACTTACATCTAAGCAAAGGTGCAAGACCCCTAGTAAGTGTGCCAAAAAGAGATGCAAACAAGACCTGTATGACAGATATCCACTTACCCTTCATGAAATATCGGTATACCAGAGTGATACATACACGTCTCGGTATTACTTTCTGGTCCATGGAAAACCTTAAAAAGAGAATGAAACAAATTACGCGAGGTACAAACAATAAGCAATTAAAGGTGATCAAAAGAAACACACAGCTTTGCAGCCATTGTTATAGCAGGATTTGGGACCTACAAAAAAACGACAACAGTCAGCACATATCAATTGGCAATGTGATTTCATACAATACATGCAGAAATAGACACCTACCCTGGTCGTTCGTAATATCTGCGCCAGAAGCGTCCTTTAACTTCAACGCTTCTAGTGCAGTTTTGAGACTTTGTGATACAACTGGAGCAAGCACCTTTAAAGGAGAACCGGAAGAGGGTCTTGGAAGAGGAGCTTTTGGAATGGGCTTTGCAACTGGCTGTACAGGTGGCGCTATGTTAACCTAAACGTATTAAGAATCTGAGACTAAGTACTTGAGGAGCTGCTTTCTCCACAACTACAGGCGCAGGTTTTTCGGGATTATGAGGTCCAAATGTGCAGCCCTTCATACTAAGAAACTCACTGAAATCCGTACTGTATTTGTTACAGCATGACCACTTCTTTTTAGCATCATGAAAAATAGGCTCGCCAGGATGGTACTGACAAGAGTCTATAGGAAGCTACCGATGATCGTGCACAACCAACCTGAACCATTATCATCTGGATCAAACTCTTTACCGCAACCCTTGTTGTAGCAACGCAGTGAAGGCATAGCTACAAACCTGCAGTGAACACAAACGGGAGAGGGACGATCGCAGGCTACTTAAGTACTACGACGCTATTTTTCATTGGTGCGTTCATAAAGGAGATATATGCCTAATATCTCTAGAAGCTTCTTCACAGCGACAACACAACCGATCCATTTTACACCTCTTAATCATCGAAATAACGTCTTTAATCGGTGGCCATTTTAGGGTTTCGAGACTTACTTAAGGGAATAATCAACCCACTTAAATACAAACACAATCGCAGTTGGAAATCGGAGTTACTTAAGTGGCGCAGAAGTGGAGAGGGAAGTCATATACAAACCAAACCGCATTGGAGTTACGAAATTTGGATTAAAATTTCCCTTTATAGGCGAGAAGCACGTGGGGACCGTAAGGAATTCCTCTTTGTGTACTCTCCACTATTCGGTCCGTCTGTACTCATATTCCCGTTCTTCCTGTATTCAATGCATAATAAATCTACCGGTTCAAGGGCATGAGGCTAGGCTGGCGGTTCCTACAAGGATCATTGGGAGGTTTCCCTTCTCATGAATAGAGCATAAGAGCACCAACTCATTCTAACATTCTTCTTACCTTGGTAGTCGCAGTCCATTCTCTTCTTATCCTTGAATACGTGTACTCAGCCTAACTTAACGACTTTTCCACGTAGTGCGTAGTCTTGGGGCGCTACGATTCGAGTCAGCAATCCGAATTACTTTTTAAAAGATCACAAAGTGCATTACTGAACTCATTGACTTCAAACCGTCACTTTGTACGATTTCTTTGGGGAGAAATCCGCAATTTCGCAAAGCAAGCTTGGGATCCGATGCAATCACTAACCCTTCAGTTGGGAAGCCTTGCAGTGTCAGACAGATGTCGCAAGTCTTCAGAGTCTGTTAATCGGTCAGACTACCTCCCTGCTGTTGCCAATCCGGAGTCCCAAGTTTAATTCCAATCACAATTCCTCAAACAATAAGGCGATATGCGTGTTCGAATACTCGTGATGAGACCAATCAAGAAGCTGACCCACAAATGCTATAAATTCTCTCCAAAAAACATGGGAAGAAAGCACGACAACAACATGAGACGTATATTATGATAACTACTTGCTTGAAAGACAATAAAAACAAAGGCGCACACGCGCTCATGGAGGAATGCGCGCACCTGTGATGTGCAAAATTGAGCAACTGTGTGTGCAAGAGTGCATAAATGCTTCGAAGGCCTCATCCTCTCCTAATCACAAGTCCACTCTAAACTGTCCAACAGGGCCTCACATAGCTCAGGTGATCGGTGACGTTCACGAGCTACAAGCATTACTTTCCGCACCGTTTCGGAGGATACCTGTGCAATGCGCAGAATGATGCGAGCCACTGCAGCTCGAATAGCTCCATCTGCATCGTCCAAATGCACTGCCACGGTGGTCGTGAGTTCTTCTATCACCGCTGAGTAGACTGGGTTGAGCTGTTTGCTTGAGGTCGGGTTGTTCGAGAGCCCCGTGGAATGCTTCGGTACTGGAGGCGGACGATCTACCAAATTGGGAGCCATTACCCAAAACCAAGTGACGAGAACGTCAGCCGCTCGCAGGCGAACCTGAAACACCAAGTTACAAACAAAATCTATTTTCGAAAACTTATCACTTAGTTTCGTGATTTGCACGATCGTTGAATAGTTCTTCGGCTCACCCACACACACACCAACTCGCAACTACAATAAGAATAGACCTGCTTCAACACAACTGTCTGTTCACTTTCCAACCTTACTCTGACGCTAGACGAGGAAATAGGATGCATCAAGAACACAAGCATATAGAATCACAGTTAGATGGACCCAGAACAGTCCACTGCCTCGTGTCACTGTTTGATCCAACCATTACTATTTCACTAACAGTAAGTAATGCGTTGATTAGGCGTTCCCCTCACCAAATGTTTATGCGAATTGCTGGTGTCGACCGTCACTGACAGACGTAAGACTAACTGATCTTCAAGCGTTAATATCATTCCGCAAGTGGTTAAGTACTCCAACATCACAATGCCCAATGCCTGCTGCGTGCCTGAAAGTCAGCGAAGACTTCGTTTGACACCAAAAGATGTTACATGCATACGCTTGCTACCACTACAATCTGACGTCTTGACGGTGTGGTGAATCGGATTCCACAAGCATTGACAAAACTATTGCGTGCAGAAGCACCGAAGCAAAAACGCAAGTTAGAAGCAACATCTGGGTCCCAACATTTGCAACATGCATTACTTTTCGAGGAGACAGCCAGTCAGTTAGTTTGATCAAATTATGCTCCCTTTTTACACATTATTCCTGTTCCCATCCTGACGCCAAAACCCTCACTGCATCGAAGTCTAACATAGAACAGTGACAGATGTAGAGAAGGCCGTAGCCTAAAACCCCATTCAGTACTTTACAACGCCCGAGGACCATGAGGATTATGCTCCAAACGGGCTCAAAGAAGTGCGTTCAAATGATGCCTGCAAAACATACCTTTTGAATCGTACCAACGTTTTTAGTCGTTTGTACCAGTGTCAAGACGCTGAGACCATGAAATCTGGTTATTTCAGCACTCCATACATCATTCACCTATAAAGCTTCCAATGGGTTTGAAGAGCGGTTTGTTTGCAGAGCATTCATTCCTTCTCCACACCTTTACTTCGGCTTTATACCATAGCTATGCCCTAAACAGTTGTCTTTTTTTCTTTTTGGAAGGTGCCAGAGGAAATATGCATGCTTAGAGTACTTAAATGCGTTTGAAACGAATTCGGTGAATGCTAAACCGAAAGCGGGAGCGTCAGTATGCAGTACTATGGTTAAATGATAAAGGCCGGTGACAAGAAGACTTACAGAAATCCACCATTGGCTACGACTTTTAAAGCATAACTCGTGCATCACAATCATTTTAGCAACACACACTGGAGCTATCTCAGCCAACACAAATACAGGTCCAATTTTCGGCAGCTAAGTTAAGCCCAGGAAAATCCCACAAGTTCAGAATTAGTGATTTCAAACGTACAGACCCGAGCAATTACCAGCAAAGGCAATGGGAAAAGGGAATGAAGCCATCATCACGGTGAATGGATCAGGGAAAGTTGACAACTACTGTCACTCAAGGTAATCCCAAAGTTGATTCAAAAAAACAAGGCGGCAATATTCTGTACGACTGATTCATGTTTCGAATCGATGAAATAAAGAGACAAATGGGGTAAGAGATTATAGCAACCACCAACCTCATCCGAAGCATCGTCCAGAGCCTTGAGCAAACAGGGATAGAAACGATAGACCTTGTCACCAAGCGATCCAGGTAATGGTGTTGTAAGGCCGGGCATCTTGTCGCCATAGCCTCCGATATCTACCTCCTCCATTTCAGCAGAAGTATCATCACGTAGGGGTAAGAACCAGGCGGGTGAGCGTAGGAAAGCACCAGGCAAGTTTTTATTTGCCTCGTTGACAACACAACCACCACCAATAGCGTCTTCACTGCCACCAGCATAGAGACCACCAAAGAGGAGAGTGAGACCGGTGCAGGCGAGAAGGCGTGTGGCTTCTAGATCATCAGTTAGGAGGCCACCGAGGCGCACCAGCAGGAGACTGAGAAGTCGGGGCGAGGCAGCACTCACTATACCTAGATTTGCCAGTTGCCGTGTGTCCACTACGTTGCATGTGGCTGGAGTAGGTGGATCAACGAAGCGAATGCGACAGCTCAGCAAACCTGTGACGAGAGCGTGTTTCCAGGTGAGAAAAATCAGAGTTTGACAAACGCACGCCAAGGATAATAAAGGAAAACCATTTCTACAGTCATGGTGCTGGTCTCTTGCGGAAACCTTATTTGATAGGCCGTTTAAAGGTCACTATTTCGTGATGGAGTTTAATGTCCGTTGCCACAATGCACCAATGTATCAAGATACATATCAGAAAGCATAGCTACTAATGCATTCAATTACATGTCTAGGCCAGAAGAATCACTTTCATCATGCTACCAGTAAATAGCCAACGCAAAAGGCTTTATAATGATATAAAGTAGGCAGGCGTATAGCATCGATTTCACCGCACAATATCTCGAAAACTCACAAGCCAAAAAACATCCTTTCCCTTCCATCAAGTACTCAAAAAGATGAGAAGCCAAACCTACCATTTTTGGCAAGGAGTTCAATGAGTTTGCCTTTAGTGGGAGCAATACGTTGATCAACCCACTCATCTAAAAGGCGCTCCAGAGCGTTAGGGCCTTCGATGGTGGCAGGGGTGCGAGAGGGCGGGGCGAGGGGTACGACGGCCGCGAGGAGCGCCACGAGACTGGTGGCCGCCGCCTTACGCATCGCCTCTGCCGTACGGCCTGCGCGCCACACACAGGACGGCAGAATTAGGCGTTCAAGGCAGTACCGAAAGAGGCGTGGTTGGGTTAGTACTATCTGTGACATTAGAGAGAGCGAGGGTAAATTCCATGAATGCAAGACACGTGTTTCAATTAGCTAATCAACCAAAGCCGTATATAGCGGGAACCCTGAAATAGTAAACTTCGAGGCAGTCAAAATTTCATATTCGTTTTGGCTTACTCATCCACAACAAAGAAGACCCTGTCAATGAATTCCATAGCACAAATGACTTTAAACTTTCGAGGGAAAAGATATGTTAACTTATTTCTGGAATCGACACTTAACTGGAAATTCGTTTTGCTCTTTACAGGAATTAAAGGTTACTCTAACATGAGCATTATTACAGGGGCTTATACTATGACAAAAGAAATGCAAATCCTGTAGCACACAAAGGATGCTCGATTTTTAACATCTGTAAAAGCCAAGCAAATCGCTTCCTCTAGTCGATGCAAATAGGAACCAGAAGCCTCGCTCGACCGAAATGGATAATGCGCAAGCTTGCCATGGTTAAAGAGAACGCGACATGCATAGCTGTCACAACAAGACGCATCAAGAAAACAGTTGATAGTAAAACAAACTTTAGAGAATGCATGTATAGTTATAAATTAGTCCACGTTATTTTCTTGAGAATATCATCGTATTAAACAAACAAGGCTTGTAGCAAAAGGATATCAACTTTGTACAAGCTCAGCAGATGGGCAGTTTCACGACTACTACTGGTCTTACCCTCACGCGAGCGTGCTCAGTGAGTCGCATAAGCAGTAGCAGGCCTTTGAGGTGCAGCTCAGCCTCCGCTGCAATGGACAGGGGGGTGGCAGCAGCTTCCACGCCTTCACCCTTCTCATTTGTACCTGCGTTTGTGTCCAACGGCTGCCCCAATCGGCAGCCCTCCTCAAGCAGGTGAAGGGTGAGGTAGAAAGACGAGGCCGTAATACCCTCAGCAACCGACGGAAGCGTCGATAACTCCACTGAACTAACACCGCCGCAACCACGACATTCTAAGGGCTCAAGACCAAGGAGAAGGCCGGGACCAGCGGCAAGCACAGCGTGGCAGAAGATGCATAGCCCCACCGACTTGGCGTGCCAACCCCCATCACTGTTGCCACCATGACTACTTTTGCATCGACGACCCTCATCCAGACGTCGCAGCAGCTGTATGAAGAGCAGGTAGAGGACTACTTAGGCTTTGACCTCACCGTCCCATAACCAGCTATGCTAATGTGTAAGAATTTCAAGTTAATGGATACTACTTCATGCCTATTGACTAGACTCATCATTTCAGCAGTTTTGTACGCTACGCTAGCTAGTTCATAGCTCTAACTTACTTAACCCATTATTTGAAATTTATATAAATCTAGGAGATAAAAATTAATATCACAACGTGCAATAGGCATTCTGAATGGCGAGTTCGAATATGACAAACAATACATTCCACACATGCCTTAGGCAGTTGATAACCATAGAGACGCTCTAGGAGTAGACCAGCTCGTTTTGCCTCAGTCACAATCAAATCTTCCTTCCCCTTCTCTGGCATTGGCTCTTCTGACTGCGATGGTCCAAAAACTGCTGCGGGGTCATTACCTATACGCAGCAGGACACTCTGATGTCGCGAAAGGCAGCAAAGCAGACGTCCTACCTGATCGTTGAACTCAACAACAAAATCTGTGCGCTCCACACCCTCCTCCCAACATGCACTCAGTGACATTAGCAGGAAAAAGGTGTCCTCGAGGAGCTAAAAGCAATGATTCTGGTTAAATTTAAATGTATCTGCCTCTCATACCAATAAACAGTAGCCCACCTTCAAGGAAACATTATGTAGCACTTTCTCAGAGGCGTCACCACAAGCTTCAGTACCCACAGAGCTTAGCCTCTCTAGAACTTCGCTTAGGAGAGAGGTGAGGGCATTTGCACACTCCAAGAGGCCCGCTTTGGAAGCAAACGAGGAGCAGGTGATCTGGTCTTCGGCCGTCAAGAAAGCGGTCATATGTAGGAGAGGACAGAAGCCTCCCACAGGAGCCTCATTGACAGTGGTAGTGTCGACAGAGACGAGACTGTCCATACAACTACCCGAGATGAGGTTGGCTAGAAGAAAATAGTTGGCAGCCAAGCTGGCAGGCGAGGTAGCCTCTTGGCAACGTCGTGCGTTCTCGCGCAACAGTTTCCACCACATCTAAAACAGGAGTGATCAGCTCCAAAACTTTACACTTGTCTCCTCTCCACTTCGTAAAAGCAAAGTTTGCCCCAGCTTTTGTTTCATCCAAACAAATGTCAAAAATGTCAGAATTGGTTTAAAACCGATCCACAAAAAATTCTCCGAATGACATGACATTTCTCTCCCCATTCAGCAAATATTGCGACAATCCTTCAAATCTACTGGATGTTTTTTAGTCATAGGAAGGCAGTTAGGCTAGCCACTCATGAAAGTCCAGAAATAGATGCACTAGATTGATCGGACAACGTCGCGCGGATGAAGCAACAGAGTAGCTAGATGCAAAACAGAACCACGAAAACACGGTAGTTGTAATTTACAGCAATACTAAAATATCGCCCTAAAAATAGTCAGATAAAGAATAAGGAGAAACGGCTATATTAGCTCTAGGGAACACAGAATTCAGATAAACCAGTACCATTGCTGATCCAAATAAAGCACTACTTCCTAGCTTTGGGTAATAGTCAGAAGAAATGTTTCACTGACGGCTTAGCAGCACCGCTGTAAGGAAGCAAAAGGACACTGCTAAACATTTGAAAAAGTAAATTAAGAAATCCTTCATGATGTAGAGCAACGGGTGGACAGAATCAGTTACATGGATGCGATTTTAAGCAATACTCAATGTATAAACTCAAAAAGGATAGTCACACTTAGTAAATACATATCACTGAAATCAACATTTAATAGTCATTTAAATCACAAAGAAGTTAAGGCTTTAGACATCTTCCCTAAAAAATCCTACAAATCGCCTTATTAAGGTGCCCAATATCCAACTCTCCAAACAACTCCATTTGGTATTTCGTCAACATCTACACGTAAGCGCGGGGATAACTACCATAGAGTTGCTCAAACGACAACAATCAAACACCGCTTCATAAGCAAAAAGACCCGCCTGTAAGAAGCAAGTGCACTAATGAAAGCTCTTACCTCTGACTCGACAAAACAAGCCAAATATCGAGCAGCAGCAAAGAGCTGCTGAAGAACACCAAGGGCCTCGGAAGTCTCTGCATTCGGAGCAACAGGAGCAGTGGACTTCGGTTTACGCAAGGCAGTAAGGTCCAAGAGACAGGGCAATCCACGAGACGGGTTCATGAGAATAAGATGAATGGAACCACTGCCAGTGGAAGAGGTAATGCGAAGTAGGGCCTCCGCAATTCCGTTGACAAGACCAGTGATGAGGAGTTGGGTGTGCTGTGTGATGCCTGCCTCAATGTGCAACAGCACAATGGGCAACAGGCCTGCCGCCTTGTGTCGAGTCTCCTCTTGCCAGTCGCGGAGATCGTTACAAAGACCTGGTAGTAGACGCGAGGCCGTGCGACTCAGAAGCTCGCGGCAACCTTCAAAGAGGACGAAGAAGAACAAGACAAATACAGGTCGAGTCTTCACTATTGACAACATTAAAGAATAATGCGCAAGGGTTATAGGTTAGGATGAGTACAAATTGTGCATCGGCAATGTACAATAAGAACAGGCTCAGCATGCCAAAAAAGAACACAAAAATTTAGATGCGGCTTTAAATGAAAACCATAAGCTAGAGGAGGCTTCAGAATACTTTAGTCCAGGCATTGGGGATTAGGTGAAAGACTTAACGAACAGGGGTAGACTTGGTCAGAGTGAAATCCCCACCTTCGTCATGGAAACAGTTGCCAGTTGTATTTTTTTAATTAAAATAGTTGAAAATTATGCAGCTCGTGGACTCCCGGTAGCAGTGTTGATTATTCATCCACAGGAGAACTTTGATAATCTTCGAGAACGCAGAGCTCAAAACATTCACCTTCCGCAATTACGATAAGGATTGGTAAGAATTAGGGGTAGGACATTTAGAGCTGTAAAGCCTTTCAATGGCGACCAGTGAAGGTATCTACGTACGAAAGAAATAAGGAGAATCAAGTGATGACCCATCCCGTACGTGGCAGTTTTTTAACCTGAAGGAAAATTTTCCCAATTTGCCGGTGAGGAACAATTTCGACATTCTGAAATAACCTAGACGCAGCACAAAGAGCTAAGGTAAAATAACCTCATCTTTTTCGATTTGGTCAAAGGATCGTGCATGACTGGGACGAATCGAATTGATACATTCTCGAAAAAAAGAGAAAAAGATGTATGCCAAGCATCCGACAAAGGTAACGTTGACTAACGAGAAAATGCTACTAGAATGAAATGCTTGAATAATACTGAGAGTTTACACAGACTCATATGGATGTGAAAGAGCATTGAACAATAAGTTCCTTTTCTCTGCTTTTAAATAAGCAACAAATTTCAACAAACTAATGCTAGCTTTACTTATGATAAATTGTAAATGGTAACTCGATTTGTAAAGTATTGTGCCGTGGGGGCGGTACCTTGTAGATAGTGTTAAAGGATGAGCTCCAATGAACCGGCTCATTAAAATGAGCAATAGCAAATACCATTCTTCGTCTAACCCAAGGCAATGCAGCTCACATTCTCCACCAATTTGCCTCTAGCCCGTAAAATAAGAGCCAATATTAAAGGTTGACAAATTGACTGTCCAAGATTTACTTACAACCCAGTGAATACCTTTGAGTATTTTGGTCTACGAAAGCTCTCCTGTTAAAAAGAAGTGCAACAGGATTCCAGGGGCGCAGAGTAGGGTCAAAGAACTGTGTCCCTAGAGGGAATTTAATGAGCCCAGAAGTGGTGAAACTTTTTAACAACTGTGCGAGAGGTTCGGTAAAGGAGACAAATATCAACAGTTGGAGTGACAATAAATTGAGCATTGGTTACAGCTTTGAAAAAAGGGTCAATGTAGTGCAGTTTCCACCAAAGGTTGCCCGCCGAAGTTAGCCGAGCAAACAATTTGCCTCAGGGCAAGGGCTAATGCGTTTCAGGGAAATACCGCAGTGAACACCCCCAGATAGCATGAAGAAATAAAGATAAATAAAATCCCAGAACGAGCCATGGAAAAATTAAAATAAGCTTTCATTAGAAGTGAAATCGAAATAAATATGAAAAGTACCAAGTTATCAGGGAATTTTATAAACATTCGAATGGTGAAACGGATTTGACAATATTTTAAAAACAAAAATTACCGAAGTTGGGTCTGACTTGATTGGGTGGATAATGCGAAGGCTTTCCAGGATCAAAGTCGATTTTGTCTTTTAAATCGTTCTCATTTTCGTTCTGAAACTTCAAACCTAAAGTAAGTGCAATCATGAAAATATTTTTAAAGCCTACCGACATCATCCCACAGGGCGATAGCTTCATCACGAATTTCCTTGCATTCGTCAATGTATCCACTCAAAATCAGGGGAATTAATTTCGAGTGGTAGGAGTACCGATCCATGAGATTCAATAGCCATTCTCCAACTACTCGGATTACTGCCTTTCTTACTGCTATGGACGGGTCAAAGAGACGCTGTGTCAATGGTGCAATCGCAGAGTCGACGAACTTGCCGTTGCAATGCTCGAAAACCACACTGATAGCCTCTATAGTTGCAACACGAACCTTGTGTTGTTGGTGGACAACATTGTTCAGCAGTGGCTTCAGTACAGGTTCAGCGGCGTGATAGAACAACGAGGGAAACTTCGTTGGCAAAATTTGGAGAATATCACAGCAGACAACTTTCACTTCATGAAAACTGTCCTTAAGACAATGACTGAGGATAAGACAGTAATCATCAACACATGAAGAACCATTTTGAAGCTTATGTAGCATACTTCTAAGGAGATTTAAGGAACACAGGCGAACTTCTTCAGAATCTTCAAGAGACTCTTTAACAGTAAGACGTTTGACCAACATGTGCGTTACGCAGGGAATAAAGCAGTCGGAGACATCAACATAGCTACATAGCTTGGAGAGAATACGAATAGACGCCTCACGATAACTTTCCACAGGGTCAGCGACCAAGTTTACGAGATGCGGAATAAGCCAGGAACAGTAAGAATTTATTTCCTCAGTACTGGCATGTCGAAGGTTTTCATCACAGTCGTGCTCAATAGCATTCAGTGACTCTTTACGCCTTATCTTACTATCGCTGGATAGGAGCGTAATAACGCGCGATGATTCAGATACTAGAAAAACCATAGCCAGTTGATAAGGTATGGGTAAATACAGAGTCAGAATGCATCAATTAACCATCAAACGCGCTGATATATATTTTGTAATGTGCGGGTCTATGCTTTGCACCCATTGGTTACAATGCTGTAATGCCAAATTAGAGCACCAACCAAAAGCAAATTTAACTGAAATAAGTATGCATTTAAAGAGTGAATAGAAGTAAAATCTGCTGATCTAAAATTTGTGGTAATATACCAAACGTGATTTTAGAGTCAGATACTCAGCTCTGCCAACTAGCCAAGAATAGTTTCTCGGTGTCTAAATAACTCGTACATAATTTCCCCCTTTGAGGTAAAACTCCAAAAAGATTTTAGCGTCCAAGACCTCCGCAAAGCTTAGAAGAAGGCGTTAAGTGGAACCAAAGGCATGTATTTTGGGTAGAGAAAGGGGATTAAGACTGAGATAGCCCGAAGGCCAGGCCATGAATACAAGAGCCAAACAAATCTTAAAGTAACCGCCAGACATCAGGCGGTAACATCAACCAAGTATTACGAAGCTGTCCTTAATTCTAAGGTGTGATTTTTCTTAAGTCCCGAATTTGTGTTAAGACCATTCCACATCTGTATTCACGATCGATGCTTTATCAACTCTAAGGCACTGTCGTCAAGTTCTAACTTTAGCCTTATTTTCATATTTTCTATAGTGAATTTGTTCTCCATGTGACCACCTTGTTTTACATCATTGCCAAACTTTTCACAGATTAAGTAGGGTGGTTGCACATCAATTGCTAATAATAGGAGTGCTGGACACTTGTGGTCTAGAAGCCGTGTAAGGGATTAAAAACGCCTTCTGAGTAGGAAATTAGATCTGCATTGTAGCAATCCAACGCTAAGTGGTAGATTTTTTAGATATGCGGCTTATCTTGGTCAGCTTAGCAGTACAATTTTGATCTCCAAGCCGTTCGCCATTCAAAAAGGCCGGAGAATGTATCGTATAGTTCCTCTATTCTTATTAGGAAGTCGCCAGTGATTCCATCGAAAAAGCGGCCTTTTCGGTCATCGCAACGTAATTGGCGCTGAAAGAATTCCCCACAAGCCGGTCGTAATAGTCATCAGCTACTCTGTGATCTCAACTTCACTAGTCCTAATCGGTAGATTTTAACTGGTTCTTAGTTAAGTACGAAATATTTAGGCGACCATTGCGCGCGTCTATAACTTGCAAAAGTGAGTACGAGTTTTGATAAATTCCTCTGCATGATTGGTTATGTAAGAGAAACTTTGATTCAAAGCTTCCTTAAATGGGTCATGACAGGTGTCTCTTCTGGTGCCGCAAAAGGGAGGGGAGCTGAACTTTTGACATGGTCCTGATGACAACTCGTTGGGCAGGGGGGACATGGACAATCCTTGCCTTTTTTAAACCACTTAAGCGTTATACTTTAATGCAATGCCTAAAGTGTTTTTTGAATTGCTACTGGTGAACCACATGCTTAGCAGCTTCACCATCGTGTGAATCGTGAATCTGTTCTTCTCACCATGCCACCAGACCTCGGGCAGCTTCTCTTTGCCTTTAAGGAAGTCAGACAGCGATTCATCCCATGTGTCCAAGGCATAAAGCGGGCAGTGGCAGAGGTCATCTCAAGCAATCTCGATCAAAATTGTATTATGGCTTTGCGAGGCATTCACGTGATAAATCATTGCAACGGCATCTTAAGAGTCCACATCATTTGGAGCTTCGAGGAGAGATCCAAACGACACCGAGAGGAGCTCATTTGGCACAGAGTTAAACACCATTTAATTTTCAAATCACCTCTTTAGGTAGCATTTTCCAGTGACCACCTTTAAAGGATATGCATATGATTTGGAGCATTTTGATCAGAAAAGTCTACTACAACACTGCATTCGGTCGCATTTTGGTAAATGATTAAATTGTTTGCTACTCACGCCTAGTTGCATTGTTAACCTCATGTCAAATGCATCCAAACTCTCGGCTACAAATCCTCTACTCCAATGGTCGCAGAGGTATAGCCCAGGTAAATGATGATGAAAACAGCACATCTTTCTCACTTGCCCAAATGGGGATGTGCGTTGCCACGCGACCGCATCGCTGGCAGAAATTGCGACGCGGTCCGTGACAATGGCTGAAGGAGTGTTGTAATGGAGGTAGGCAGACATCAGCATCAACTCGGTGTGGGATGACAAACCCATGGCTGGCAACGACGCCAGAAGTTGAGGCGTTGCACAGGTCATGCACATGCAGCACGTCAAGTCTCCCTCATGGCCCATGCACTTTCCGACCTTTGTGGAGGAGTTTAAGACAACTTGTCCCGTGCGTCAGCACCAATTTCTCTGCTTTGGAGACATTTTGCTGCGTCAAAATTATTGGATTTACAAGACATTTGTTTTAACTTTCCTAAAAAACTAATCCATCTGGTTTTTCCCTGTGGTTGTACTTCCACCAGCTGGGACGCATTCTGGATGCTATGTTTGCGGTGAGACGTTCCCCGACTTCATTTTATTGCACACTGAAGTGCTTAAAAGGGTAGAAAACGATTTGTCAAAAGGTTGCAGTGCGGCGCCGTCCAATGTGTGAGCATCGGCTGTTGAGTTGTTACTCAAATGTCATTATTTTTTGAAGGTGAGGATAAGGCGGCAGGCAATGTTTCCTGCTTATGCTTTGAATGCGTCGAGCAATTTCCGAAATTTTATGCAGTTTAAGAACACCTGTCGCTTCAACACAGAGTCGAGTTGCATCAGCCTAGCAACTCTATCCGGACTGCACTTTATAAATCTAAGCAAATTCCACCTCCTCTGCTTGTAGTAACGTGGTTCAACTTACTCCATCCATGCACATTAGAACCACTATTGTAGGTCTCATCGTAAAAGCAAGTTGCACCCATAGATAAATTGGGCGTTTTTCACTTTTAAGTCTCCATGGTAAACGTTTCAACAACATTGAAATGATGTGCCTTCTAGCAGAGCTACTGACAAATAAAGTCTTCCACGCGGTGACAGAAAATTTCAAACTTCCTTTTAATTTCTACTTTCCATTTTTCTTCGCTTACTGGGTCTGCCTCAACCAGATTCATCGCCTCCGTTAATTGTGTAGACTGAAAGTGACTAATCAGGTGCTTCTTTCATCGTGTGTGTGCTCTTTTAATTGCGGAGCACTTTAGGTTCGTTGTCTCCAAATTCACAAAGTCTCAGAATGACAATGAAATGTATTCGTCTTTAACTTCGCGACTAAGCGAGCCGAAAATTAACGTGATCGGACACACGGTCTGTCTATCGGCCACTGGTATTCTCCATCCTTCACCTGACCGACAGCGGACATTTACCCAGAGGAGGAGGACAAGTAGGACTTTCCACTTCGAGTGATGCCAGTTGGTGACTCACACAGCACTGACCTTTTATGCCCTAAGCCGTTGTGGATCAGCATCGCGCCTGTAACTTTGTTCCAAAGCACACTGTTAAAATAGTGGGGCCTCTGAAACGATCCTTCCATTCCTCTTTTACTTAAGAGGTGTGTAAGCGGTTTGAGAAAATGCGACCAAGTTGATGCCATTTTGGCAGACATGTAGCTCAAGGTGCACCATTTCGTTCGTGTTAATGCAAATCTTCTTCACAGTCGTCATAGGGAATGGCGATATGAGAGAACGCATAATTTTTAAGATGCCCAAAAGGCATGAAATGCTATTATCATGACTTGAAGTTGATGCTGGAGTGCGGAACTGTATCCCGAGCCGTGACTTAACGCATAGCTGAATAGGTGAGCAAGTCGCTGGATGGGCGACTCTCGCTAGCTGCAAGCATAAGTTGGATTTTAAAAGGCTATCAGTAGCAGTAGTACTGCAGACACTGGTGAAACGCACTCTGGGCCTCGGCAACACACATTTCCACCTGTAAAACGAGGTTGTACGAGGATTTTCAGATGTGATATGTGCATGTCTGCAGCGAGAAGTAGAATAAAGGCCTCGACATGGGCTACATTGGAAAGCTTAGCGACCTCTCACCCACCTTCAGAGTCCTAAAGTACTGGCACTGTTACTACAGCAATTTATTTCTTTACTGTCGAACTCTAGACAATTTTCTTCCCAATCAAGGGCCTGATCGACAAAACCTCTTCGTGGGCGGATGTAAGACTGGCATACAGCACCGGTTCCGTAAAACAGGCTTACTATTTGCAGGTTCTACAGTTGTCATTCGCGTCAAGTTTGCCTGCACATCCTTCCTCTCGTCAGTCACTCGAGTCAAGGTCTTTGACAAGTATTTGGCGCTTTTGAGAAGTTTTATTAGGCCTATCAGTTAAGAAGTGGGAGATAGGTGATGCAATAACGACGAGTGCTTCCTTCTCTTAGAATCACGTTAAAACTAATTTCCCGCCTCAGATCAGCAAAGCACATTTGAACAATCAACACCTTTTACCGTGGTGGTCAAATCATAAAGCGTTATGAGGAGGAGGGGGGCAAAATTTACAGGAAAGTTGGCTTTCTGCTGGTCTACGTTCGTAGCCGTAGAGAAGTCAACCGAACACAATACCGCAAGTCCCATGCGCCTGTGAATGGGGTATTAGAATGGCGTGAGTGATCTCACACCACCCGCTTCACAATCTCCACATAACAATTTCGGTAAGTTGGTGCCACTTTTCTTACATTTCTCCTTTACCCCCCTTCACTTGCCAAGCCAACGTTCACCAGGACGGACCACTCCAAGCGATTTAACGCACATTTTTGACCTAAACGCGTGTAAAATCACACTAATTTGATAAAATATAATATCAAATCTAAAAGTTTAAATGAAAAGGCGATTAGAGATGCGATCCCAAGGCGACGATTGCTGTTCATCCACCTTGGAGTTGGATTTGCCTCACTTTTACAACGTCAGTCTTTGTATACCTCGTCTCAATGAGCACTTTCTCTTGTGAACAGTGCCTAACGGTGTGTCGCAATGTGCCTGACATAGTGAAGCACCCTCAGAGCGCTCAGTATCGTAAGTGGGTGTTTTGTCTCTCACTTCAGTGTCACCCTCGCC